GAAAGCAAATCAAAGATGGCAAATTTCACGATGCTTGCGAAAATCTCGACCAAAATTTCAAATTCTCCTTTGTAAAAAATAAGAGGGACACTGGAAGCATTTTCTTGTTACCCAACCTCTCATGACACTAATTTAAACAATAGATGAATAAACCGTTAATCTTGACTTCTTGATATGGTTTCAGTTTCAGTTTCATAACGACCCTCCAAGGAAAACAGTAACTAAAACGTGGCCCATGACAAAAATGAGTTTGACACACCTACCTTAAAATATTGGTTACCCACATCTTTTGAAAACTATTTAGACGTTTTGTTTTTTTTTGGGGGGGGGGGGGTTAATGAATTTTAGTGGGGAAATATTGCATGTTGACAGCAAAGTCCCCTGATATTGCGGCACTGCGATATTGTGAAAGTAGTCAAAGACGGCATGACAACAAAGGCTCCCTTGTGCTGAGAATCACCGCTCCCGGCTTTTGACGACCACCAAATCTTTTGCTTGGGCGTTGCAGCTGTGGAGTGGACCGCCCCCTCCGCCCGCCTCTGGCCGCCCGCCTTTTTGGGCTTCTGCTTCAGTCTCGGGACAATGGCCGGAGCTCTGCTGGCCTGGCTTAGTCCCACTTGGACACAGCTTCACCTGTCTCTCGCTCTGCCCCAGTTCATCTGCCTGCCACTCTACCGGTCTGTCCTCCTTCGCCCGTCGCGTGTCACGACGCTGCGTCTCCACCCGCAGTGTCTTTCTGTCCAACCGTTTGATCATTTGTCCTTCTCAGGCGAATTTCTGTTTGTCCGCACAGTTCACTTCCAGAGTCTCCCAGCTGGTTGGCGTTAATGGGGAGGACCGATGTCCTGTTCCGCTACCGCGAAGGGAAACGCGGCCGACAAACAGTGTGTGGACATGGTACACGGAGACGCAGACTCAGACACGACATCCTGCTATCTGAATCATCTGCTCGTCCGTGCATCCGTAGCTCCTGGGATCAAATGTGGCGGAGAAGCAGAAAGCCGCCGAGGCTCAGAAAGATCAAACAACAAGTGGCCTCCTCCCCTTCAAACATCCGACTGTCCTGCTGCGGCTGTCCGTCATGAGCTATCTGGGGTAACGCATTGTTTTTTAAGACAGTGAACCCCCACTTTGTCAGTTTCTCTGCGCTTTCTGTAACACTGTTAAGATGTCAAATTTATTTTGAAGTGTCTTATCGCCAAAAAGAGAGGGGGGAAAAAAAAGAAAGAATTTTAAAGTGTTTGAGGACTACAGTTAATGATTAATTTATTGATTGATAAACATACTCCAGGCAGTTCTTAACATTTTGGGAGGTTGTCACCTACTCAAGCTTTTTCACTATTCAAGGCAGGGCTCGGATAGCGGGGGCTGACTATCCTTTAAATATGAAATATCACAACAATTCCAACATTTTTTTTCCCTTGTTTAGGTGAAATAGAAACGTGCTGAAATTGTGATGTGTGCTGTGATTGGTCAGTGCTGCGACGGCGTTGACATACTACGGCATCTGTATGAACATCGGCTCCTTCGGCGTGAACGTCTACTCGGCCCAGTTCTTCTCCGGCCTTTCCGAGACTCCCTGCCTGCTCATCCCGCTGGTCCGCCTGGATCGGCGTCCCTTCAGCATGCTGACTCTGTTCCTGAGCGGCGCCGCCTGCTTTCTGTCTTTGCTGCTCTCCAGACACCAATGTGAGGCTCCCACAAATATATGTTTGCTCAGTGGTGCGCCAGTCGTTTCTGGACAGACAACTTGTCCTCCAGTCATGAAATGTTTTCAAACTTAATTGCCAGCACCAGTTTAAGCTTACAGTCAAACTTAACATAAAGAGAATTAATTACATGTGGATTTAAAACATCCACTTTGCTTTGCTTGACTTACATACGGTCTGTTCCGCTTCACGCGAACAAACAATGCAAAACGCTGAAGACAGGTTAACGAAAAGCGTCAGTGTTATACCAGATACTTGAACACAAACGCTGTAGCAACACAGACAATATTAACAATACGGAGACATTCTTTATCCTCCGCGAAGAGCAACTAAGATTACTGCGATTCACTGAGGAGCTGAGACAGTCCATGTAGGCTCGAGTACAAATAAATCATGCACTGTACTGCCGCCAGGTGGCCAAAGTGCACGCACCCAAAGGAGCAGCACAATGTCCGTTGACTTGAAGAAAAAAAAAGTTATTCTTTACATTGTATTTGTAGACAATGTATGTTCTGACAAAATACAATATGGAGTACTATTTTTCTCTCTCAGTTTTGATTTTGGGATAGGCTGGTAACAAACTGAACTGAATGAAATTTCAATGAAAGTGAAAAGCTTCGAGTGTGGTCAGGGAATGCATTAAACTCCTCCCAAGGTCCCACCGACTACTTTTATCGCTTTGGCATCAGCTCGTGGCAACTTGCTGCCAAGTTGCGGCCACTGTAGTGAGGTGAGGAGTTTCGGGTAAGAGAGTGCTTTGCTTCGCTTTGCCATCATTGTCTTGTACCATCTCTGAAAAACCTGAATACTGAAATAATCTTGCTCTAATTTATTGTAAATTTTGGACCTGTTTCACATGCATCCTTTTACAGGGTAGTGATGCGATGCTGATCACAAGTCTATTCGGCAGGTGATGCAATGCTCGTGATGAGCTTGGCACTGCTGGGCAAATTCTGCATCATAGCCACAATCTTCATCTTGAGTCTGTACAGCATTGAGCTGTTTCCCACAGTGGTCAGGTAACACGTTAAACGACGGGTGGTAAATTCGCCAGGTCACGAAGCGGATTTACTCATTTGAATGTGTTGTGTATTCCACCTGCAGGCAGCGTTGCATGTCGATGGTCAACTTGTGGTTCCGGCTCGGTTGTCTGGTGAGCACTCTGTTCCCGCCCAACCCTGAGGGAGCCCTCTCACTGGCCGCCATGCTCATCTACGGCGGCGGGCCGATCATTGGCTGCGGATTGTGTCTACTCCTTCCGGAGACCATCGGCATCCCGCTTCCTGACTCTGTGGACGACTGTCTCAGGGCAACAACGCAAGACCCCGTCAAAAGGACGAGGTGAGGACACGAGTGTCCCAATTGGAGCTGTGATGAGCGCAAGCTCGTCTGCGCAGCTGCCAGAAAGCCCGCCCGATGTATGTATTAATAAAATGTTCATTTTGTTTTCTGTTTATTGAGAATTGTATTATGACTTGTTCGAATAAAGATTCTATTAAAAAAAAAAAAGCCTGCCCGAGGCACAACACAACGAAGCACTTGCCTAGGACCACACGACCACTAGGGGACACCCAAGAGCACTTAACAGTCCCACTGAGGAAGAACAGTTACAGAAAAAACGCTAACTCGTTGGATTAAAGTAGTTCTTTTACATTTAGGGCAGCGGTCCCCAACCGCCGGTCCGCGGACCCGTACCGGTCAGCCGGGCATTTGGTACCGGGCCGCGCAGAAAGAACTTGCCTTAATTCCGTTTTATTTATTTCGGAATACGAAAGATGTTTTATTTTGAAAACTTACCGGATTCTCCGTTACATCAGTCTGTGTCCAGCTTGACACACGTCAAGCCACGTTTCTCCGTAACGCGACCAATTAGGCTAAAAACAAACACCGGAGCTCGCAAAATGAGTAAAAAAACTGCTGGAGATCGCAAATGACGGCGGCCTTAAAAGTACGTTCGAGACAACTGGATTAAAGTTATGTCTGAATACTCTGAGATCGCCACAATAGCACTTTTGCTATTTCCGACATCCTACCTGTGTGAGGCGGGGGGGATTATGCAGCAACGGCGACGAAAACAAAATTACTAAGTAGACTGGACATAAACCACACACTTGCGGTGTCATTGTCTCTCCTATTACCCCGAGATGGGACCGTCTGGTTGCCGAAAATCAAGCTCGGTGCTGTGGTGAGTCGTCATTTTCATGCACTTTGAATTTGCGTTGTATCGTATTTTGAAGGCATTAAACATTGCCATAGCGATTGGAGTGTTGCGTGCCAGATTAGACGCTCCTTGTGTTTATTATTATATTTCGAAAACACCACAGTTTTCATGCAGCTCATACCATATTATTTTGTTGTATTATTTCCGCCACACCTTAAATGCCGGTCCCTGAAAATATTGTCTGACATAAACCGGTCCGTGGGGCAAAAAAGGTTGGGGACCCCTGATTTAGGGGGTTTCTGTTGATTGAGTTAATTAATATTAATTCATGGTTCATTTGTCTTCATTTTAGCATAATACTAAACTAAAAGACCGAATCATTCATGTATAATACATCTTATGTTTATTGTGATAGTTAGTTTGATTTGTTCAAAAAATATCTGCGACCGTGACCTTGAAAAAAAAAATCGCACATTAAATCACAATCATATTTGGGGGAGGGGGTGGTCCCAATTAAGATTACTTTTCAAAATCATTCTACACTCATTTCAACCACTTTAATACAAATACTCACATCATAATGAAACGCACCGGTTGTGTGACTTGATTTCTCAGTCTTCGGCTAAGCCAAGTGCAGTTGTCAGAGCAGCTGGCTCTTGCCGTTGTCAAATTACACACAATTTGCAACCGCGTTGAAGTCTGAAATATTTTGCAGTTGAGAAAAAACATTTTCCACTTAGGTTCTCTGCTCCCAAAAAAAGTTGTGAAATATCAAGTTTGCCTATCTCCTGTCTTTCCAGGAAGCTGCAAAGCCAGATGGCTGTCGTTGGCGCATCAGAGTGAAGGCGCAAACGCACAACAGCTCCCGGGCAGCGTGGAAACAGCCACATTTCATTTTAATGACTCCACTTTTATTTTTGTTCTTTGTCTGATTTAAGTCTTAAAACACTGTTTTTTTTATTATAAGCTAGCATGCATGAATGGTGAGTTTGGGTACTGAATTCAAGGGATTCAACGCTTCATTCGTTGCAAGTGGAACAGTAACGTGTAATAAAGTTGCTCAATACTGTACAATATCAACAAAGTGTGCTCGTGCAAGCGTTTAAAAACTACATCACTTTGAGAAGTTCTAAAATGAAAATATTGCTTTTATTTTAAAGAGAAAAATGCTGCTTGTTCAAAGCCACCAAACAACCAAAGCGAAATGACTTGAGAATAATAATAATAATAATAATAACAATAATAAGTGGTTGACCTGGAAGTAGTTATGCACCAGTACGGCAAGTCGATTGAGCCTTTCTTCCATATCCATGCACGAGTCCGCTCTTAGTCGTATTAAACTCACATTTCGCTAGTAGTGTTTCTTCCACGATTGTATGGCAATTTTGTGCACTACAACAACTTACTACTAGTGAGACAAAACTGCATGTTTTGATATCTGCACACTACTAGTGATGGGCCAGATGGTGACTAGTACAATTTTACTTGCAATTATTCTCCTAGCGTGCCCGAATGCCACGTAGCAGTGAGGAAAACTAGTACATCCCACTACTGCACTGAATTGTGTTACTAGTTCAGACTAACATGGACCTTAAAGTGACTCTCAAACAAATGCTCAAACGGCTTTCCATCGCTTACTAGTTAAGGTATAATTTCCTACCAGTCGGCCAAAAGTGGCACTAGTAAGACAGTCTTTCTACTAGTACCTCTGTCTTACAAGTGACAACAAGAAGCGAACTAGTACATAAAGCCGAAGCTGAATATTGTATTTGGGGGGGGAAAAAAAAAAAAATGCTCCAACACCTTGCCGCGGTAACCGCACCGATGTGCGGTTACTTTCCTCATGTAGCCCACCGAGCGACGCCGGTCAGTAAGTGACATAATTTGCAGGAAAGATCCCCTTTCGCCCATCCAATTGCCCCTCCCACCAGTCGTACTGGTTCTCGGTCTTGGTGATGATGGTGATGCGGTCGCCGGGTTTGAAGCTCAGGTCACCAGGCTGTTGACCCGCAAACGCGTGGACAGCAGTGACCACCAGAGTTTCGCTTGCTCCGCCTCCTCCTTATGGAAAGAAAGTTTGTAAATCAATTAAAAAAAAAAAAAAAAAAAAAGATAGCTGTTGGGACACTGCCGGCTGAAATGAAACAATGATATTGATGTGTTGTCTTTGGCGTCGCACAACCAGATAAAGGTTTATATTTATTTTATTTGAAACCATGTACATGGACCTGCCTCTGCCTCGGTCAAGGTGACAGACGTGTTTGCTAAATCGCCGTGCAATCAAAGAAAAGTCCGTCTTTTGTCACCCGGATGTGTGACGCCTTTGTGAAAAGTTGTACGCTTTAACACTTCAGTTTAGATTGTTAAATGCATCGCAATGCGTGTATGTCTTACCCAAGTTTGGAGGTTTTCTGGGAGGAATTTGATCTGGAAGGAAATCCCACCGTCCCCACAATAAATCAAGTTATTGATGATGGACTGCATGCACCAGGGTGCCGCAGCCAGGGAAAAAAAAAAAAAAAAGCACCTCAACGAAGACCAACTTACTTGAAGGGTCCGATTTGTAGACGGAGATATTCGGGTAGAGTGACCTTCTACCTGCTGCACCTGCAGAGAGAGAGAGAGAGAGAGAGAGAGAGAGAGAGAGAGAGATTTTTTTTTGAAAGGAGAGAGAGAGAGAGAGAGTGAGAGAGAGAGAGACAGACAGACAGACACACACACACACACACACACACACACACACACACACACACACACACAGTTTTGGTTAGGGTTATGACGCACAGCTGACATTCAGAGACGAATGTTCTTTTTCTTAAAATGCGTAATAGGAAGCATGTGTGCGTCTACATCATAGGTGTCAAACTCAAGGCCCGGGGGCCCGATCTGGCCCGCCATATCATTTTGTGTGGCCCGCGAGCGCAAATCAAGCATGTCAACTTTTCCATGATGCTTGCTAAAGTCTGAACCAGAATTTCAAATTGTCATATGTAATCCATCATTACATGGAGATGTTGCAAGCATGATCTCATGACGTACTTATTACATAAACGTAAACAATGGCTGAACTAACCATCATTCTTGAGTTCTGATTTCAAAACTAGTTATCCCCCAATTTGTTGTGCACTGTGTATGTAATATGTGGAGGTGATCAAACATTTATACAGTTTCATAATGGCCCGCTCAGGGAAACCGTAACTACAAAAATGAGGTTGACACCCCTGGTGTACGTGACGGACATGCACTCGAGTACTGAGGCGGTACTTGCTAGTTTTACCAAGATCATCGGGCTGCTGTGAGGTGTTCCCTCCTCGCGAAGGAGCAGGAGCTGGAGGTCTGGCAGGAGGACGGGATGACTGAAAACGGAGCAATGAGAAAACGTCAATGCTCAAAAGGAAAAAAAAAAAAAAAGGGGCAGGAGACGTTGGCTTTCTGACGAGTTGAGCTTCACCGTTGTTCAAGGCCTTCTTGAGCGCACGCAAGTTTGTCGATTTGCGCAGCGCCAACATGTACAGACGTGTAGGCATAAAGCTAGTAGCATCCAATTCTCAGCAGACACAGCATTTGAGAGCAGAGGCAAAGGCTTGAGGTTTCATGATTTTGAACCCTTATTTTCTATACATGGCAAATTTTTTAACCAATCAGATTTGGCGTTGTTGCAAAAAACTCGTTTCTCCATGATGTGTCAAATTCCCACAACATTTGTTTTCATTTCACAGGGACTTGAAATATAGAATGCAAGGACTCTTGTCTCTTCGGCTGCCAAGTGCTGAACTGCAACTGAAAGAAAACCGCAATGTCGCCCTTCACGCGCATACTAACTGGGCCACAGTGAGTTTAAAACAATTTACCTTTGTGGTCACATTCTTGCTGCTCGAGTCCGTCCCGTAGCCCTCCGTGTAAGCATTCAACATATCGTACAGAAAGTCACACTCTTTTGGTGGGTCCACGTCGCCATTCAAAATGCCAGACGCTCGCAATTCCCGAGAGTAGAACCTGAAAGCTCACGCCGACAGCTGTATTGGAATTCACATTTTTTTTTTTTTTTTAAAAAGCAAAGAAACAAAACATATTGAAGGTATTGGCTGTCAAGCCGCCCCACTTGCGATTGGTCTCTTTGCGTTCAATCAGGTACGAGCCCTCCAGAGACAAGCCTGCAAACAACCCTCGGGACTTGCAGTAAGTGTAAACAGCGGCCATTTTGCGAAGGGTAACATCGGCCTCCATGTTCCTGCAGGGATGAGAATTATCAGGATTCGTCATGACTCTTGCCGTAGGCACCTCACGCTTTCGTCTCTTTCCTCTAAAGTCACGCCGAATCAACATGAACCACCTCAGTCCGCTCAAAGCAACCCTCAAATGTAACAGCAGGGGGCACAATAACCAAAAATACAGTGGCACCTCTACTTACTAGCGTCTCTTCATACGAAGATTTCAAGTTACGAAACGCCTCAACAGGAAAATATTGCCTTTTGTTACGAAAAAAAATTTCAAGATACGAGAGGTAAAAATACAGGATGGGCGTCTACTCGCAGCTCCAAGTTTTACGTAAATGTGAATCACCCAGAAAAAGTGTTCACCAGTTGGACTCGCTCACGATGCTGATGTTTGCCTTGGACATCTTGGAAGGATTGTTAAAAGCCAACAAAAGCAAACATCCTCGGATCAGTTCTTTACAAAATTATTCTTTACACTGTTATTTGTTTTTCACATTATGCACAAATCTCACTTATTGTGCAATAATCTAATTGTAACATGTATTTGTTACATAGCTTGATGCATTTTTATGCTTTATAAAACATTTATGTCTGAATTTTGGGGGTCTTGGAACGGATTAGCGCATTTACATGGAAAACGCGTCTCTACTGACAAAATTTTCTAGTTCAGAAATTTCTTCCGGAACATATTAATTTTTGTAAGTAGAGGTAGGACTGTTGACATTGGTCTACAGCCACTTGGCCAATCAGGATGCAGAAGACGAACAAAAAGAAACCCAAAAAGTCAGTGAAACAGCGAAGCCATGACAGGCGAACCGCGTTACCACGAGGGCTCACTGTATTTTTGTTGTCAAAAGACTGCCCTTTTACAGTTTGACTATTGAGTCTTGACCTGAAGGGTTTGCCCGTCTATGTCGCATTGTGCGTCCGCTGCGCGGTCACAGCCAAGATTCGGCCGAACGGTCCGTTGGTATTCGATTCAGTATCATTGACATGAAAAGTGTTTACGCTGAGCAGATCACCAGCTTCTCCTTCACTTGAAGACAACCCACCTGCCCATCGGGCCCACAGCGACTGTAAAGTTCCCACCCAGCGTCAAGTTCCCGCCCTTGGTGAAAGCGTCAATGGCCCGCCGATGGTTTAGGACGATCACCAGGTCTGAAATCTGAGGAAGGTGGGGAAGTGAGCAACGCGTTCAAGTCGCCGTTCAACATAAGCAAGTAATCATTTAGGAGCGCCGTTCAAAGCACTCACCTCCACACCAATTTCGAAGCCGCCGCCCAACCCGGCGATACCAATGGCGGAAGGAGCCGACCAGCCTGTGCACAGAAGCATACGCAACGCTTCATTTTAAATTCGGACGTCTGAGATGCGACATGGCGCATGTCCCTCATAAACTTTTAATGCCCAATTAGTGATTTGGATCAATGACGAATCATTCGTCAGCCAAATAAGAAGCGCACGGCGCCTTTCACAAGTCAAAGGCAGAACTCCGGCGCCTTGAACTCACGTCTGTCAGCCAGCCTGGCGATGACGATGCCGCTGCCTCCTCTTGCCGTGATCACGAACCCTGCCTTCACCACGGAGATGATGGCCAGCCCCTCGGCTGATGCGATCACACTTGCTACGCGTGCAGCAGGAACGCAAACGACAAAAAAAAACACAGATGACAAAATAGCTTTTTTTTTTTAAGAATTGATCATCCATCAATGAATTGCATAAAATCCGATTTGCCGTTTTTAAACACCGATGCGTGCAGCTGAGGGGCAAGTGTTATTCAGAATCGGTCCCACCCCGAAAAAAAAAAATCTTGAAAATTTTACTCGCATCTCTTTAAGAAAAAAAAGAAAAAAATTATAAACAATTATTGTAAGAGAATGATTGATGAGTGTTGTTGTGGAAACATCTTGTGTAGTCAGGTTTAGCTTCCACACATGAAAAAAGACTGAAAATTGCCAGAGGTGGCATCAAATTTCACAGCCTTACACCCAAAAGGTTAGATGGTACAGTTTGTCGCTTTAGGAGCTTTGCTTCTGCCTCTAATTTTTGACGTTTCATTGGAAGCGTCACAACCGGACTCGACAACTGGTGCGGTGAAACCCAAACCTGGGATGAGTTTGTCCAGCCCATTCCCGGCGGAGATTTCAGTGAATCCTTTGAGGATCTTGGTGGCTTTCTTGACCTCAGATGTTAAGTCAGATGGAAGGAGGCTGTTCACTGCACATAGTGGAATTGCTGTTAATTTGGTTAGAGTTGCACATGAAGGTTTGACAACATGTTGCCGCCCCCCCTCCTCCAACTAGTCATTCACACCGAAGTAAAAAAAGTTTTTAAAAAATTTATTAAAAAAAAAAAAAAAAACTTGACTCTTGTAACGGCAAGACATTTACTTCCGCCGACAAAGATCTTTCCGAATAAAAAGACCTTATGGATGTTCCAGAGGAATGTGCTGCTGGCTGCAACATGTGGAATGGTGGCAGACTGGCTGGGCAGGATCGACAGTTTTGTCAAAGCTCTAGCGGGAACCCGTCAGCGCTAGATCACGACGGCGTACTTCCCGTCCCACGGTACGTTTTCTGTCTGGGTCTATGGGACCGTTCTAGTGTTTCTAGTCACATCTGGATCGAACATTGGAGGTTACTGGTGTGTGGCTGTTTCAAGTCAGGTAAACAAAGTCGATTCTAGAGCAAGGGTGTGTCCAATTTCTGACACTGGTTTCATTCAGAAGGCAGAACAAAAGCATAATCAGACCATTACATATTTACATAACACAACAATTGCCCTTGTGGTTCATTGTGTTCCTGAGAACGAGACAACCTTTGCATGTCAACAACAGAGGGCAGAGCCAAAGTGTGGCCGACGAGCCTCAAAACGATCAAAATCAAAATATGAACAGACCGGAGGCTCATTACATTAAAATTACTTTGCGTCTGGATCAGAGCAATGTTGAATCGTACTTTTGTGTGTGTGAAGGTTTGATTTAGTTTCTAACGAGCAGAATATTTCGCTGAACAACGCTGTCGTTAAACCCTCCTTAATATAAAGCTTAAGAAATCATTTGAGACACACACACACACACACACACACACACACACACACACACACACACACACACACACACACACACACACACACACACACACACACACACACACACACACACACACACACACACACACACACACACACACAAACACACACACACACACACAAACAAACAAACAAAAAAACCCGAACAGGAACTTATGGGGCACATTTTGTCGAAATAACCAAACGATCATCTTCTAACACCAAAATGCTTCTCTCCGAAGTGACCGAAGGAGAAATAACCAGTGTCAAACTCCGCTTCATTTAAAAAACACGACGACAGTAAAAGTTTGAGCAACCGGTGAATTAATTAACGGCGACAGTGGTAAACATTCAGTAAAACATCACTCGTGAAAGCAAGTTTATTGCGCACCAAACAATTCGGAAATCCCTCTGATATCATAATCAGCCTGTCAAACGGGAATGTTTCTCCGTGAGAATACTAATTACCCTGCCTGCGGTCAGGCACCGATAAGTTCGTCAAGTTGTGGTGCTGGCCAAAAACGCCCCTCGGCAGGCCTCGGACGGCACATTAAAAAAAGACAAGACGAGCGGAAATAACGAAACAAATATACCAAACTGATTTTCTTAGAAACGTACTTTTTCAACGGCGTCCGGTCAGGTTGAACCACGCGACAAATGTATCTCTTTACTTCCGTTTCACCTGTCGCGTCGTCTGCTCTCGCACGAGCCAATCACAGGTGCGCTTGAGAGTCACGTGCCAGGTGGCCGCGGCTGACCTCGATGATCGTGAGAGGTCGCTGACGCATCGCGGGTCATTCCAGAATTTTTGAAAAACTGAACTTTTGTTCGGTTGCTTTCAAGAATGTAGTTGGATCCATCCGAATCAATCATCAACTGCACACTCTTATGAAAATTGTATTGATGTTATTAGTGACGTACAGTAAGGTGGCCCTGAAATGCAAGTCACAAACACAACAAAATGTTTTTTTTTTAATTTGTGACTCCTTTTTCTTGTGTGCTTTCTTTTCTGTTTTCTCCAATTCATGTTTCTTTTTTGCTTGACAAATAACTCGTGAGAGAAACGTTGCATGATTTTTTTTTTTTAATTTAGCACTTTAAAAGGTTTTTTTACACACCTTCATCACCTTTCACCACTTTGCATGATTTCTTACGTCATATTCATCTCGTTTATTGCTTTTAAAATCTGGACTTATTGCTAGTAACATGCTGGTTCAGTTTGTGCAACTGGACTACAGTACAGCAGATTATAAACCCAGGAGAGTTTTTTTTTTTTTTTTACACACATTGAAATTAAAATGACATATTGATATTACATTAAACTACAGCTGAATTAATTTCAACATGTTTGAGAAAATAATGATGATGGTGGTCAAACACTGATCTCATGTCCATATGTTACAAAGAGAAAAAAAACGACATAATAACTTGATGGAACATGATGATGAGTCTTCTGAGTCTTTCAGGATACAAAAGAAAGTTTTGGTTTTCAGGTGAAATTTCAGGATTAACTGATCTTAAATTGATCCACTTGTGTCCAATTCTAAAATACTTGTTTTTCCCACAACTTGCTGCTCTCTAACTAGGAGCTGAATGTCAAAAGTCACAACAGGATGAGAGCTTCATCCCAAAATCTCACGCGAAAAAAAAACCCAAATGACCCAATCTTTTTTTTGTGAGGAATGTACATGTTACTCCTCTTCTCCTTCCCTCTCATAGATGGCAGTCATGGGGCCAGCAAAGTGGCGGTGGCGAGCAGGCCACCGCCGACTTGCTGACCTCGGAGCGGTGTGCGGGCGAGGTTGCGTTGCAAGGGAGGAAGGAACAAAGACCGCCGAGGAGAAGAGTGGCCAGTGTGAGGCTCTTTGCCTCAGGGTCCAGGGTGCGGTCGTGTTCTGGTATGTTTGTGACACATCAAGAGTCGTGTCAGTGTTTGCGGAACACAAGCACGTGGCCTGGACGCGGGCACGCGGAGGGACGGAGGTGGCAGGAGCGGCAGCGACGCGAAGACGCTCCACAGCCGACATCCGGGAAGATGACTGCAAGCGACTCCCCTTTCTCAGCAGGAGTGTCTTGAAGCTCTCACTTTTGGACGGTCTTTTACCTTTGAGGGATACCAAGGATTGCGGTCTTGGTCGAGGTCGGTGATCGGCTGAGGTCAGATTGGAAGAATCTCTTCGTCCGAACATCTTTCGCTTTGACCTGAGACGGACGCACGAATAAGAGATGTTCACGTCTTCTGGATGGTGCGTTTGCAGTCTTTTGTTACAACGAGGACAGAGGAGGGAAGGAAGGTGACTCGAATAATTTTGGCAAAAAAGTTGACCGTAGAGGGGGCGTCTAAGGCAAGGGTTCTCAAACTGTGGTTGGGGGACCACCGCAAGCTGTACCTTGGGTGTTAGGATTTTGTGCATACTTACATATGGGGATTGACACATCAAAAAAAAGACATTTACAAAACCTCTGTAAAGGGTCCAAAAAGTTTGAGAACCCCTGGTCTAAGGCTTGAGGGTCTACATTCCACCTGCTTGTCTTCACTTACTGCCAATCAAGCCGTTCCTTCCCATAATGCACTGCTTCGCGCGGGAGAGAAAACAAGCACGTGAGTCAACCCCATGGACGTTTCGTTGTATGTGTGTGTGGTGTTTACCTGTGGATGACGGCAAAGAGGTCCTCGGTTGTTCGTGGTTCCGCAGATTCACCTGTAAAGAGGTCAGCTGCGCAATCACAGGAGAAGCTGTTTACTGACAACACGCGGCTCGCATCAAACATTGACCGCGGGAAGCGGCGTACCTTCAGAACGCCAACCGGCATCTATCTTCCTGGCCGCAACCTCCTCCTCTTTATCCTCTTCCACGAGGAGGTCCGTCAGTGAGAGTGCGCCTTGCAGGTTGTCGCCCGACAGCACACGGCTCAGGGAGCAGCTTCTAAGGCCCATGATGGCACTAAAACTGCTCTCCCTTGTCTGTGACTCAGCCTCTTCGTCGGAGGATGAAGAAGATGATGATGAAGAGGATGAAGATACTCTATTCGACGCCATTCTTAGCAGGCGTCTTCCTGTTGCCCTTCTTTTCTTCCTTGGTTTGTCATGTATGGCGGTGGCAAACATCAGAGTTGATTTTCTCTGCTCCTCACCTTCTTGCTCATCCTCACCCAGTGACCTCATCTGGCACCTCAATTGTCTGTCCACTACTTGCTGGAGGGATGTCCCAGTACCGATTTGGACTGCTAAAGAGCTACGTGTTAAAGTCTCGAAAGCGCACCAAGGTCCGGCGGCCGTGCCATCGAAAGAGGACAGAACACCCACCGTGCTCGAGGGATGGCAGCCCTTATTGCTTGATGAAGTGTCACCATGCAACTTGTTACCTGTGGGTCCAACGGCACATTCTGTGGAATTCATGGTTTCCGGGAAGCATTGTGGATTTACAAGGTCAGATGCGATTGACGCCAAGCCACAGTCCCCTTTTGGCTTTTCTCCGGCCTCTGGAGATGCTCTCACCCCCAGAATACTAAGATTGGGCTTCTTTGGAAGGATGGGCTTCTTCTTCAGGCTCGCAACCTCACATGGATGGCATGCGAAATTACCGGTGACCTGATGGTTATCATGTTGTGGCCCGTATGATGACTCCGTTAACTTGGCCTCTGATAACACTTGGGTTGGGGTAACATCAGACGTTTTCAGACAAGAACCTTCGCGTAGCCGATTATTCACCAGTCCGGCGTCCATTTGAGAATCCCCTGAATCTATTTGGCCATTTGTAGGTTGATCATTTTGGATGTGCGTGTAAACAGACTTATCCTTGAACACCGCCTCACAACGAGGCAATATTTCAGGCTGTTGTTGCTTTGAATTAACATGGGCAGGGGTACGAAGACTCGCAGCAAAATCTCGCCGAGGAGTGTCAGAAAGCTTGGCATCAGCTGCCACGCTGTCTGGGGGGAGTACTTCCTGGTTCGTAATGGAGCGAAGCTTGACGCTCTGCAAAGCCTGTGCAGTGACAAGAGGAGGGGTGAATAGGTTTAAACCATTCACACCGCGATTTGGGGGCCTGTCGAAGCCTGGTGGCAGGTGTAAGCAGGCGCGTGGCTCGACGACAGCTGGAGACATCGAGATCAGCGTAGCGTGATGGGAGGACTGCTTGACTGCATGGGAGTATGGAGGAGGAGGGGGTCGAGAAGCCAAGGAAGGCGGGAGAGGTGGGGGGACTGATGATGGCCGTAGGGAAAGGGGAATGGATGAAGGTAGGAGAGAAGAAGGACAAGGTGGAGAAGAAGGAGGAGGAAGATATGAAGCCGAAAGAGGAGTCGGCGCAGGAGGAAGATAGGAAGGCGGGCGATGAGGGAGGTGAGGAGGAAGAGATGACGGTGGGAGAGGAGGGGGAGCAGGAAGAGGAGAAGATGTGAGATGAGGGCAGTCAGGAGGAAGAGAAGAAGTTGGCAGACGACTGGGATAAAGAGATGATGGCTGTAGAGGAGCGGGAGGAGGAACAGAAGACGGCAGGAGGTGAGGGGGCTGAAGAGGAAGTGATGATGGCAGAGGAGTTGGAGGATAGAGTGAAGAAGGTGAGAAATGAGAGTGGTGAGGAGGAAGCGGCGAGCTTGGAAGAGGAGTGGGATGTCCAGGTGATGGTTTTGTCGGAGCGGGTTGAAGAGGACGATTTGATGGTGGGAGAGGAGGAGGAGGAGGAGGTGGAGGAGGAAGAGAAGTATGGGGCAGAGGACCGGGATGAAGAGATGACTGCTGGAGAGGAAGAGAAGATGATGAGATGAGATGAATCGGCCAAAGAGGAAGAGATGACGGTGACAGTGAAGGTGCAGGGGTAAGAGAAGAAGGCGGGGAATGAGAAGGGTGAGGGAGAAGACTACAAGGTGGCAGTGGAGAGGGATGAAAAGATGAAGGTTGGAGAGGAGGAGACGACAGTTGGAGATGTGGAGTCAGATGAAGAGACGGTGGGAGAGGTGGGGGAGGAGGAAGAGAAGAAGGTGGCTGAGGTGTGGGTTGAAGAGATGACAGTTGGAGAGGAAGAGGAGGTGGAGGAGGGGGAGTTGGAAGCACGCGGGCAGGGGGGTGAGTACGCTGGGCAGAGGAGTTGGAGGAGGAGCAGGATGACAAAGAAGAGGAGGAGGAAAAAGAGGAGGAGAGGAGAGAGGACCTCCTATCCGGAGGGAGGGGTTTCGACTTCTTGGGAGACAAGGGGAGAGAGGTTACTGAAGGGTAGAAGAAAGGGGAGTTTTGGGAAAGAGACAAGGCTCCCGGGGAGGTGCCCGTCACGGGGGTACTGGACTGGCTGGAGTAACCGCTCGAGGGGGAAGTGAGATGTTGAAGTTGTCCGTCCTCTTTTGAGACCAGAGAATAATAGGTGAGCCCGAGAGTGCGGCCAGAGGTTGAAGGGGTGTTGTTGGATGACTGGTCTACACTCGAAGTTTCAAAGTTAATGACTGTGCCAGAGTCGATCTTACTCTGGCGTTGTGTGGTATGGTCCCGAGGTACCCAGGGATCATCCAAGACCTGCGCTGACGAGCGAGGACTGCTCTCCATAGCGGGGCTCGATGATGAATGACATGACTTGCTGCGGCTGTTTCGGCGCCTGAGGGAGTCGGTCCGTAAAGGTGGCAGAGGCGGACGCTTGGACTTGCGGAGGGAGATGCTACGGCAGGAGGAGGAGGTGCTGGACAAACTAGTTCGACTCTGCCAGGAAGACAAGGTCATCACATCCTCTGAGTACACCGACACAAAGTTACTCGAGGAGGAGCAAGCAGAAGAGACCGCAGGAACAGGACTTGTCTCCTGGTTGATGGGACTCCAGTTGCCACCAGTGCGACATTTGGGCTGGAGGGAACAATGGCTCGCGCAGCGGGAGAGGATGGACCCCCCATCCAGAGACTCTGGATCTGCTATTGAAGTAGAAGAGGAGCTGTAGTGGGTGCAGTTTGGAGACTGGCCACAGTCGATCACAAGATCACAAGAGCAATCACAAGAACAAGTCCTCCCCCACTTCCGGGAACAGGAAGGGGTGCTGAGAGGAGAGGGGGAAGGACACTGAGGACTGGCCCTTATGCTCACACCACAGGGTAGCAGGGGCTGAAGGTCAGTGGAGAAATCCTAGAGATGGGAACAAAGATTTAGTTCAGTCCTGTTCATCAAAACTTCATTTTCCCAAAGGGAAACTTGTCTGCTAACTTATTTACTCTTCAATGAATTGATTCCACTTTCTAAGGGAGCACAGAATTTGTCAGCCTTTGCTTCGATTGCTTTTAGCTGGTCTAAGGTCTGGTCTACTTTCTGTCACCTAATTGTCTGGTGTGCCGGGGGCGTGGAACTGAAAATGCCCTCGGTCCGCTGAAATGCCCACTACTACCAAGTTCCCAAACATGATAAACTCGGAATGCGCCGCAAAATGAGGCCCCGCCGGTTTTTACGCCGCATGCACATGTGCCTGTCCACAAAAACATCACCGAGTCAATGGCAATTTTGAGAATGGTTTTGTACTTTCCAATCATCCGTATGAAGAAGGTACTTCAAGAGGGGCAGTGATTTGCCAAATTCATCTTCCTTCGAGTATGCCCCGTGATGATGGCTTATGGAAACGGACCTGGGAACAGGATGAGGAGGCGCTGAGTGTCCTGTAAGAGACACTGTTGCAGCTGGTGTCTGAGTCCAGAGAGGACCTGGTGGCCATGCGGGGCAGGCTGCGGACGTTCGAGGAGCAAGAGAGGCTGTCGACACGTGGTGAGGTGAGGGTCATCATGAGGCTGGCCAGACCCTCCCCCCTCGGGGCTCGGATCTTCCTCGCCAGCGACTCTCTCTTCCTCATGACCAACTCCTCCTCTTCCCGTTGGCCAAGCGGAGAGGCTGTGGAGCACTGATCGGCAGGCGAATCTGAAGTGGAACATAGGAGGAAATGTGATGGAGTCGTTAATTTTCGGTTGACAGAAGAACTCGGGCTGTGTTTCCCCAAACTCAATAATCGTTAAAAGAGTGATTGTCAAAGTGTGGCATGTGGGTTCCTCTAGTCATACATAAGAATCCCCGTCCAGTTCACGAGTACGGTTCAGTTGTATTTTACTTTTCAGTTCAAGACAAACGAGTGGTTAGTCTATCTGCCTGCCAGCTCTGAGGTTGGGGTTTGATTCAAGGCTCCAGTCTTCCTTTGTTGAGTTTGCATGTCCTCCCCGTGCCTGCGTGGGTTTTTTTCAGGGTACTCCGGTGATAAGAAATCTATCTTTGAGGAATTCAGTATCTGTCTTTTTATTTGATGAACATGTTGGAATTATTGTCATCGAGTGGAAGAGAATTTAATTGCTACGCGATGTCTAAACCTGTTCTATCTACATCGGATAAAAATGAACAGATATTATTTGTTCATTATCATAATTTGCCAACCAGTTCAATGAACCTTGATCATTTCCCCAATCACACCCGATGATCTCTGATGGCCGCGCGGTGGTTGGGAATCAATTAACTGTAGCATGTTACCTGTATCCTGTCGACTGACGACACCAACATGGTTCACGGGGACTGTCGTGCGGTGGTTTGGATTCCGACGGCGGCAGGATGAGGAGTCCAGGTTGGAAGCCACTTTTCGGAAACTGGCCTGCCGATCAAAACTCTGACCTGTCGCCAAGGTGTTGAAGATACAACTTGTGAGATTAAGCCTCATCAGGTCCAAAACACAAGTGTGAAGCTCAAGTGATTCGTCAACATTTTGACTTCAACTGTGCTTGCTCTTGCCATTTCAAATGAGGGTAAAAATGGCATTCCGACCAGTGTCCAGGCCCGGCGCCCACCTGTTATGTTGATGGGAACTACTTCAGTCGTCACCGCATCTGCCTGTTGCCTCATCCTCTCCTCTGGGGTCGGGAGTCGGGGGTTTGGCTCCGCCTTGACCCCGAGGTCAGTCTCATCACCAAAGACGTCCCAGCAGGAGGTGAGATCGATAGGGTTGAGGATGAGTGGGGTCAGAGAACGTGTGTTGTTGAGGATGACCGTTTCCTCTTCATCCGAGGAGGCTGAGGACTAGGACAACATCTTGGTTTACTCGCCTGGGTGCGTCTACTTTCAACTTCGTACAATCTATCAGGGCTTCACTAGAAGAGTCAATCTTTTAGCCCCTTTCCAGTCAGTTACGCCCAATTTTTAGATGTCTCTGAAAAAAATATATACGAGACTGGGACAGGGTGTGTTTCGAGGTTTCCCTTCCGGCACAGTTTGGCCAACAAGCCTTTTTATGATTGCAATCCCTTTTATGTGTCGTCACCACAGACTTTGGCGGAGCCAAGGGGTGCCGTGATCGTGAGGTGAAACAGAACACACTTGGATTTAGGTACGTTACATATAATTGACAGCCAAAATACTGATCTTATTTGACAAAGGTGTCCAATCCAGGTCGAGAAAGTAAACCCATGCCACAGTTTCTTGAGCCGCGGGTGCTTCTACTCAAAAGCTCTTTTGATCTGCCTGTTTGTGTAGAAGACAAACTGCGGCAGGGTTTACTTTCTGAGCACGGATATAACACCTCTGTCAGATACGAGGATTTGCATTGTGGCTGTCGTCGTGTTGGAACAACTCTGGGTCAGGGTACTGTTCTACCGGTACTCTATCGTCTAGTCTAGGGCTCCGTCCGTGTTTTTACCTTTCTCCTCCAAACTGACCATTCGAGACAAAGAGAAAAGCACGACTGAGAGAGAAAGTCCCAAAATGTGGACCTCTGAAGCGACAGAAGGACGGACAGAAGAAGAGACAGTGAGACCACTTACAGGGTTGTCATATTTTCTATTTTGAACCTGTGCTTGCTCGCCGTAAACTCAGTCTGGCGACCAGTGCAATGCCTAACGCGTCTCTCACCCACAGTCAGCTGTGGGCTCGGCTCCGGCGCTACGCTAATGAGGACAAGTGCCATTATAGCGTTTTGTACAAAGTCATATTTGCCATGGAAAATATTCGTTCTGAAAGGACCATCAAGATTTTCCCACAAATCTTTTGAGGCGGACTCATTTACGGAAGGTCCGTCAGGCCGTCGCTGTTTCCATCAGGAGTTCAGGCCGACCCACGTCGGCGGCAGAACGTAATTTCCGCGTTCCACACAGGGGTCGCACAAGACGACGTGCAGTCAAATAAATTAAAAAAAAACTGATGGGATATGTGGCATTGAGGTCCGTGGGACTGAACGGTACACAACACTCTTTTATTTATTTTTTTCTGTATTTGACTGCTTGTCAGGTGTGCGGCTCCTGCCTGCGATGTGGTAACGGTCAATCCTTTCTCGATGTCATTTGGTTGTCGCCGCACTGGGCTGGCCTGAAGTTCTGACAGTAGCTCACTGACAAACTCACCGGACCGACGATTGTCATTCATGTTGAACATTGTGTTTGCGTTTAAATTTGCAGCCTTGTAAAATATTTCGGAGAGGCTCTCACCATCTTTCTGCTTTTGTCCCTCCATCGCCTGTGCACCCTGCCCTCTGATTGGCGGAGTCCAGGTGATGTGCAGGAGGTGGGGCTCGGCGTGCAGAGCAGAGAGGTGGTCGGTTTGCTGTCTCCATGCTGGGTCACTTTGCAAAATGCTACGCACGCGTCCACGTCCAGAAAAGGCACAAAAACAAACGATTTGCGTGCCTAAAGTCTACCTCGTGGGACACAATGTCAGTATGTTCCAAGATGCTTTGAGATGGATATTTGTGACTTCATTTACTGCATAAAGCTCATGAAGTTGGTTTAGCTCAATGCTAACCAACAATGCAAAACACCATAGACAGGCTAACGAATAGCATCTGTGGAGTGGCGTTTAACCCTTCAAGCCATTCGTATTCGAAAACAAAGAGTGGCGCAACACACAGAGACAGACAATAGAGCAATACTCACTGGGATACATTCTTTACCCTTTGAAAAAAGGACTAATATGATTGCTGTTTACTGCGTTAGTTTTGGAATTCTTCATGTGTTTCTTCTTAGCTTGAATGCTAACGGATAATGCAAAGTGCCATAGACAAGCTAAGAAATAGCATCAACTTGGTGCAGTTCAAGCAACACATTTTTGACCACAAGACATCTAGACAGATCATATAACAATTCACATTGGGCATGGGCATATATTATTCATCCTCTGTAAAGAATGGTGAATATTACTGCAGCTTACTGAAGTTGGCTCACATTTCAAGGCACTACTTTGAAACAGATGGTGTCAAATTACATTAATCCCGCTCAACGAATCCTTGTCACCCAGGTTTTTGCAACCCAGTGATGTATTCATTCTTGAAACAACTCTGACCTTGCAAGTCCTCGGCGTCGCTCGCGTGTGGCCCTTTTGCAGGGATGAAGAGCAGACCCTGCTGGGGCTTCTGGGTAGTGTAGCGAATGGACCAGCGGTCGCCGTCCTTTGCTGCAGACAGGAGGAGGAAATCAGGACTTGGTTCTCCGCTGGATCTTGATATGATGCTTGCTATGGTAACCGGCATGTCACACACCTCAAGCTGTCCCTTCCAAAAGTGGTCAAGCTATTGTGTGCTTACAGTACACACACACACACACACACACACACACACACACACACACACACACACACACACACACACACACACACACACAACCAAGCATGCAGAGATGAGAACAAACTCACCTGTGTTCTTTTTGAGATAACTGAAGACAAATTTG